TCATATTTAAAGGCATACGTTTAAAATAGGGTCCAAAGTGCAAAACATTCATTTGCACCAGATTTGTAGTGACAAGTTACATAAAAAACCAGTCTATTAAACAAAATGGTACATCTAATTTGTTTATACGAGGTGGTTTTAACATTGTAAATAAAATGGCTACCGGGAAAAAGGTTAAAGACAATTAATTCAAGCTTCTATTTGCTGTTAAAACCCTATTTTATAAAGGTAAGTAACCCAATTCAACCAAGATGTCCGATCTTATTGCCTAAGGCGATCCACCGTCCAATTTTTAAATTGCTGCTGCCTCCCAAAGGGGAAATCCAACTGACAATTGGAGTAAATTTCACCGCATCGATAAAAATAAGTTTTCCTTGAATTTTTGTGTTGTATATAAATAGGAATCGATCGTTTTTAGGGATTTTGTGTAAGGAACTTGCATTTTATGCCATTTTTACATTCCCGAAGAGGTCGATTTACGCGGGTTTATCGAATGGACAAATTTGTGTATTTTGTGTAAATGATAAGTGTACCCAGACCCAAGATAATGGTAATTCCCGTTTTTTCACTTCACGAAGCCCCACCGCGAGTTGGTCTCTTGATTCCTCTCTATTAGCTCTTCTTCCACTACCTAATTACTCGTAATTCTGAGAGCAATCTTAGCTAAAATCTGACCCAAATCTACCAATGAAATCCTATGAACCTACAATGAAATTACTCCATATCTAGAATGACTTCTGTCATCAAATTCACGTTGACTGCCAATCTTCTTGTGTTGCGCGCCAAATCGGCGAAATTATCGGCGTAATAGAAATTTAAAATAAAAGAATTTTGGAATATCAGCCCTGTAATAGAACCGATGCAACACTGAGCTACCCTAACAAAAATTGAAAAAACTGCACTAGCGGACTCCGTTACAATGTTACCAAAATTGCAGTAGGCGAGGGCATTTAGGGATGGGCGTACATATCATTACGTATGTTTTTATATTTTTAGTCAATATTATTTTGACGAACGAGTTTGACAAACAGAAGGACGGACGGATGAAAGCATGCAAAATAGGTTACAATCCTTAACATTTTTGTTCGTTCAATCCATTCAACTCAAACATCCTTGGCACTTTAATTGGAATATCTAATATATTGCTGTGACTAACAGTTCTGTTAATAATAATCTAATAAACTGGTCAGGACAAGAAATATGCTATGTTGGGCACACACTTGAACACGAATCGAAGAGATTCCCCTCAGAAAAAAAATTTCTTTTAATACAGCACAAATGGCTCAAACACAATAACACTTAACTTTGTGGCTGCTCGTATGGTAAAACTTCTCTTGTATTACACTAATTATTTCTTCATTTTTGATAACACAGACTTTCTAAACTCGATATTCCATGCGTAAAAACTTCTCGCACAACATTAAACGTGTTTTCGCATTATTTTACTAACTATATTTAAAATTGCATAAACGGTTGGAATACTGGTACCAAAGTTACCGTCATAGAGACTCTTTCAAAATTACCCGAGACAGCCTCTTCATTCTTCCTAGTTCAGCAAAACCCACTTCCTCGCACAAATTCAACATCGTTATTCCCGACTACACCCAGAACTGACAAACCCCTGCATCGCTTATCTCGCACGTGACATTGTTTGTCGAAAAACCAATTAATTTTTGTCCGGTAACAACTTTTTATACCAGATAAAACTTTAAACTTCCGCAAAAATTTCAATTAAATGTTCTTGTAGTTACCAGTTTTAAATTTATCATACTAACTAAATACAACAAATAACATTAAATGAATTAAACAATTACTCTCTACATTTACAATCAAAAAAACTAGCATTACAATAACAATTCAACAATTTTTTTCCAATTCTGGGCCAATTTGAAAAAAATCCCCAGATCTTATGAAATAACTTGAATTATGTTAAATACAGGATGTTCTGATTGCTATTTCCAATATTCAGATCGAAATTATATATACAAGGGCGAACTGCCTCATCTTCGGCATTGTTTTAACCTAAAGAAACGACAACCTGTAGTTTAGACAACAATATATGATAATTTATTTTATCCAACACCTCTATGTTATCCAGTCATTATCATGACGAAATTAAACGAGTAAGGTATAATATAACCCACTAATGAGTTATGGACGTAAAATAACTCACTAGCAAGATAAAGTACCTACAGAAACCATAAGTAAATCCATATAAATTTTCACTTATAATTGCACAAGAGGTTTGTATTTTACCGAGTAAATTTGGGTTGTTTAGGTAATGAAAATTTGTTGCCTAGCAATTAGACGAGAAAAACTGTCAACTAATAAAAATGCGACACCGCAGGTGAAGCATTTTTGGGTTGACAGTTTTTCGAGTTCAATTGCTAAAAGGAAACAGATTTGAATTGCAACAACCCAAATTTACTCGGTTTAAATACAAACCTCGAGTGTAATTCGGCAGGACAATTTAACGAACAAGAAATTCGCCAAACTAGTCAATTATTGACAGACGTCAAGCTAATCATATGGGAAAGGATAATGCGATAATTGTTCCAAAATGAATAAGTGAAAAAACCACTAGTGCATTTGTCGCTGGAAAAGTTGCAGGTAACTTTTGCCGCTGTCAAAGTGACAATTACACTGCGGCTTATGCGATTTTTTATACATGAGTTGAATTGTCTGACTAAATTTTTTGTTGTTTATTATTCCCCATAGCAACGAATTATTGCTTTTGTATTCCATGCACTCTAGCTTTTCGCGGAACACGCAGTTTTTAAGATTTACCACGTTTTAAACCAGCTTGAGGAGGTGTTGGATAAAGTTTTGTATGGTGCACGTGTGTTAATTACAAATAAGTCACTTGAGAAAATAACCCCACTCGGCCTGACGGCCTCGTGGGCTTACTTTTTTCTCGCGTGACTTATTTGTAATATAACACACTTATACCATAAATAACTATTAATTTACAATTAGAATTAGTGTTCGTTTTCATAAACACGCACTAATTTACGTTATTTACCTTATGGAAGTTATAAAAAGTAAACTACTCAAAAAATTTACTTATCTATCCTTTACTTTTTAGCGCATTTCCACAAAAATAAAAAAATGCGCTATTGTTCTACTTTTTTCGCTATTTGGTTCGTTATGGTGTCGAGTCTTGTACCAAGGAAGGAATTTTTTCTGTACCGCTTACAAAAAAAGTTATTGTAAAAAAAAAACAAAAAACCGTTTTTTACATATTCCATAATTTTACACTTTTGCCGTTTATTAACGATCCTAGAGATCGTTTATAATTTTGCATTGCTATCTGTCGTCTGCCTATTGGTCTGTCCGTCTGTTCCTTTGTTTGTCTGTCCATCTATCTGTCCGTGTGAACGATAACTTTGTTTAGAAATGTTCGATCACTTTTACATCTCCGTTAGTTATGAACTGAATTGCATGAAATTCAATATGGGCATAGCTTTAGCCATATAATACGCAACGCCAAAACTTCAATCGAATCGATTCAAAATTCACAGTGCCCTTTTCGCATCTCGACCATTTATAAACCGAATTGCAAAATTTTTTACTTATAAAAGCATTTGAATGAAATTTGATACATAGGCACTTGGAATAAAGGGAAATCAACAGCCAATTTCAAAATTTGGTTTTGCGCATGCGCAGTGCCAACTTTTTTATTTATGGAAGAATTTAAACGAAACATGATACATAGGCACTTGGGATAAAGGAAAATCAAACGCCAATTTCAAAATTTGGTTTTGCGCATGCGCAGTGCCAACTTTTATATTTATGGAAGAATTTAAATGAAATGTGATACATAGGCACTTGGAATAAAGGAAAATCTAGCGCCAGTTTCAAAATTTTATTTTGCGCATGCGCAGTGCCAACTTTTTTTATCTATGGAAGCATTTAAGTGAAATTTGGTATTTAGGCGCTTGGAACAAAGGAAAATCTAACATTAGTTTCAAAATTTAGGTTTGCGCATGCGCAGTTCCCACTTTCTTATTTAGAAAAGCATTGAAATGAAATTCTTCTCATAAACTGACATTGAAGTAGCACGACAAAAATGGATTGCCCATGTGCAACGCTATCTTTCATATTTGTGACCGGATTTTTACGATTTTATAGAAGTTGCATCTTACAAATGGGAAATGAATGCAAGTGGAAATGCGCTTTATGTAAATCGTTTACGATTACTTTTTAACTTGTTATAATCTTAAACCACTTCTGGATAGGTACTTAATTCATGATTCCTTACTTTTATGAGTCATTTAACCTTAGGACTATAAAACTTCATCCTTTTTGGCGAATAAAAGCTTCTTGTTTCGCGTAATGCAACTTTCTTATTTGAGACTATATTAGGACGCCATCCCTGCGACTGTTAAATGGAGTTTCTATCATCGAAAAATTGTTTTACGATAGTGGTATCGGTCGATATACTTGAAAGGTATGGTATATTGATAAAATTACTTGCACTTTCGCGAGCGTTATACTCTAAATAATTACTAAAGAGAAGTTTGCACAACAGTCATCAATTGTTTGTTCTATCATGTTGAAACGTATTGATGGTTAGCATTCGTCATCAATGTCAAAGTAAACAGTACCTAAACGTAAACAAATTCATGATGCAACCTCCACAAATACAAAGAAAACAATAATTCGAAATAGTGGTTATACCTACAAGGTGATCCAACAAAAATTCATACGTCCCCTAACACACGGCAAAGGAAAATATTAAAAAGAAACCGTCGACTTTTATTCGAGAGGGTGGGGGCAATTTTTATGAAAAAATAATTCGTGCGGGGGATTGCAAACAAATTACAGCCATTTTTATATATTGCAAATCGATCGATTAGGTACAGAGAAATCGCGCATTAAAGTTTAAAAATTATTAAAAACTCCTTGTAGGAATATCGTAGACTGATAGACTAAGAGGATCGCTGGGTCGAATTACAGTAGCAGGTAGGGTTTTAGTCAAATAGAATAAGAAATAAACATTCATGCTAAAACGTTTGTCAATTATCTCCAAGTGTGGAAGTTGAATGAATAAGAAATGAGTTTTACAAACTATAACAAAAAAATAAACATTTATAAGAATAAATACACATTAAAGGACTAAATTATTCGTATTCAAAATAATCCGAATCCTTGAGGGACTCCTGAATCCAAATCTTAAATTTTTCAAGTATTTCTGGAGACATTTCTTGTTTATAACCACCAACTATCCCCTTTCTAATAAATCCCGGCGTCTGATAAAGAGTATCATGGTTAACGGCTTTGTTCAGTTTCATTTGATCAAAATCCAACCACTTCAGCAATTTCGACTGTTCTTCATCGGTCACGGTTTTATTTAGAAATTTGGCTACTCTTTGTATCACCGACCCTAAATCATTTTTCATTTCCTCGTATCTTACAAATAAAATGTTTTCCTGGTGCCTCAAATTCCAAAAGTACAAAATCGAATCAAAATGGTTATCTGCACAGAAACTGTTAAATGCTTTAAATTTCTAGTCAGTGTAAATACCTACAACCATAAGACATAAACACCTTGCAATAATCATCTAGGGAGCAATCGTGTTGCTTCAGTAGGTTTTTTGAATAATGGTAGCTTGATAAACACGTATCCCTTGCGTTTCTGGATATGTATATGATCTACAAGGTAATTTCTATGAAATATTGGATTCTCCTACCGTGTCTGAATACTTTCGCCTTTTTGGTACCAGAAAGAAGTTGCGTTGGTAAAGTTCTTGGCGCTACATGCGACTTTATGAAACGAGGACTCTTCAAATTTTGAACGTAGCTTAAAGATTCTCGATGACACTTTAGTATGTTGATATGAGTTGTGTCCTCAAGAAATCCATTAAAAAACCCTTGTAACCTAAAAAAACCAATACTATCCATAGGTATTCATAATCATTTCGGACTGTTTACTCTAATACTGGGAAACGCTCGTCAATAAATATATTGGCACTTCCATAGTCCAAGTCGTTACCAATTAACCACACCAATTCTTGTAACCACGTGGTACCTATACGTTCATTAAAATAAGAACACTTTAAAAGTAAGGATAATCGTACCCGATTTTGGATTCCCAATTAAGAATACATCATCGTCTCGAACTTCAACATCTCTGATGAAGTCTAGTGAAGTTTCAAAGATCAGCTTGCGACTGACCTGTGGAAAATGTTGTTTTAGAATATCTTCTATTTCTTGTTCTGAAAATAACCAGTTCATCTTCTTTGTACTAATTGCATTAGTGTCGATAATCGGTGCACCTATTTAATGGGTACTTGAAGTGCTATTGATTGATTACAAATTTCGAAATTTCTAGTTTACCATTCGTTATCAATATTTGCGTAGATATTGCAATTTATACATTGTGCAGATAAAATAGTAAAAATAATTACCTTTTGCTAAAAATCTATTTGTGTCAGTGGGACTTTCTCATGACTCCATTTATTATGTATTTACTGCTAAAGTAATAAAATTGCATAGGTACCTTGTGAAGATAAAAATTTTAATCTCAAGACCAGGTAATCCTAAAAGAATTTACCCGGTGGTTTTTCTTTCTCTTATTCTAATTATCGTTACATTGTTCGGCGTTATTTCTGAAATTATAGATGATTTTTTAACAAGCCGTCACGCCTCTGAGCTGATTATTTTGTTCCATATAATCTTCTTGTCTTTTGCATTGTACTTCCTCTGTTCTTTTGTGACTTCTAACACCACCTGTTTTCATCGGACTCTTGTCTGCTCTTTTTCTTTTTTTGGATTGGTTGTTTTCACTGTCCTACTGCCCAACATTCTGATTTTTGCGCGGGACAAGTCCATTCGTACCCTTATAATTTTTCGACAGTTTCGAATACGAACTTAAACGTACGAAGACAGTTTATGACAATGAATATTTTGTACGATGGCCTTTTCTGAACTAGGTCCCAAAACATCCAGTTAATTTAGCTGCTAACAAAACTTTGTGTTTAAGATATTATGTACTGAGTTAAATATTCCTCTCGTAATGTTTGCCATACAAGGCACATTTTAATTAAATCCACAATACCGGTAGTAGAAAGTTCACCGAATTCCATTAATCAACCGCACTCTTTTGGTCGAATTATTTACGGAAATATCAATTTGTCCCAGAAGAATTCCCCAAACTTCAATTGATCGATCGGTAACTTCACCGGCATTTAAATCGAGATTTTCTGATAGCATTTTTACAAATACAATACAAATTTCATTAAAAGGACTAATAGTACGATGTTTGTCCAACTTTTTTTGTAATACGCAATTATTCTGTATTTTGCAATGGTTTCATTGTTAATCTCCACACTGTACACAAAAAATTCGAAATTTATTATTTCTCGGTGATTAATGTGGGTAATTAGGTATTATTTATTTATTTGTTTCCTATAAAATTACAACCAAAAAAGACGTACACTATTATTATAATAAAATCTTAATATAATGCTTTAGTATTATTTACTATTTTACTTATAAATATATTTAAACAAAAACTGTAATGGAAAAGTTGTGATTAAGTGTGTCATTTGTAACACGAGTTGTGACACTATCATTTTCTGGGCGCCTAGTGCACCCTTCCCCTTATTAAAAATAAAAGAAAAAAATAACAAATAAAAGTAAGGGAAAAAGTGAATGATCCATATAACTGAGGGCCTATTTTTACAAATCTACCCTATGAAATTCTCATTATCATTAAGGCAATAGAAATTACTTAATTGGCCCTCCACGTTACAAAATCTATATATTCTTAAAGGAAATGTTTAGTAAACATTTTCCAAATTGATCTTTGTGCCAATACGCTAGGAATATTATATACGTTAAATTGAGTCAATTTGACTACTGTAATGTAAGAGTGGTTTTTGATAACTTTTGATGCGTTGATTTGCATTTCGGTAATAAATACACACAATAAGTAGTATGTATTTATCTATTACTGCGCTCCATGACTTATTTGACGAATACAAAACGAACTTATTTCTGATTACTAGTAAAAATTTCTCTGTGACGGCTCAACCCGAATTAATTAAATTTTCGCTCTCTTAGCGTATTTTGAGGGTTGAATTCGCTTCGAGAAATTAGGCTACACGGGCGATTTCAGAAAAATATTTATTACGCAAACTTTCAGGTAATCAATCAACGAATTATTACCATTAATGCGGTCTTCAAAAAAATGTTAGTCACTGGTGAAACTGAAACGTTGTTTATACGTTAAATGGAGATTTCCTGTAAAATTCTTCTGCGGCAAAAATGTTTGTGTCAAATCCAGGTTGATTAGCCAACATAAATCTGATTTTTCTGATTTAGTAAAACACTTCCCAAAATTTCCACGGGAAAGGGAACAGAGAAAAACGAGATTTTACGTTTTACAGTTGAAACTGTGGCAGATAGAGACATTTAGAACGTAGGTTTCTTTGAAGGTGTACTCCGAAAGCACTTCCCTAAATCACCACGAGAACGGGGTACGGGAACGGAAAATACTCAAGAGTTTTATGGAATTATTATGGATAATGTCAAAGCACTCGACAATAGACAATTTAAAATCAAAGTTAAGCGTTTCCTTACCAGTAAAGCGTTATATTCAGTCAACGAATTTTTAAGCACACAAATATCACCGACAGACATATTATAAACTTTGTACGCTTACATGTATGTACCTAACTAAATATTATTTATGTATATGTTAAATGTAAAATCATTGTATTATGTATAATGTATATTTATGTTGTATGTTACTTTGTATCTTACTTTTATGTTATGCTTGACGTGCCACAAACACATCTACCAGATATGTAACGTGGTAAATAATAATAAATGAAATGAAATAAATAATATAAAGCCAAAATTCACACAAGAAGTAATTTTAGTAAAAAACAGGTTTTTTTTAATAATGGCGATTTTTTAATTGGTTCCTAAAGTATAGGTACACGATTATGTATGGAATAGCATATCAGGTAAGTGGCTTCCACGGCTGAATTGCGCATATGAACTACATATTATTTTTTTCCATAACAGTTTGATATACTGGGTGAATTCCACCGCCTCGCCTCGCTCCCAGAATTCCCTCGGGCGTGAGACCGTACAATCACAGACCTTTTTCGGCAACGTGTTAACCATGGTAGCAATCTCGTCCTCTGTGATGTGCCTTGACAGCCTCATCCACGAGAGAAATGCACTCCTCTGTAATCTTCACATTGAATTGTCCTGGTGGCGCATTGTCGTCTTTACCAGAACCATGGCAACCACACGTTAACTATGGTGTAGCTGAAACTGTCACCATCCATGACAGCCATTCTGTGACGAATCTCGATCAGTTTCAGATCTTCAGCTGTCGGAAAACACACACCTCGCTTTTCCTCCTTTGACCCTATACCCATATCTCATCAATTTCCAGAAATTAAGCTAAATTGTTAATTTTGGGAAAATGCCATTTCACGTTGGAAATCATGATTAAAATCGGCATCGCCGCGTCACAATCTCCTATAAGGACCACATTGGCTTATGTTCCCTGTACTATAAAGTCAAGGTGAGACGGGCTATAGTTATTGACCCAAACATTGCAAGTTTTTTTTTGTAAATGAAACGATCCAATTCTCAATCTGAAGTTGTCCAATTCTTGATTTGTTTGTTGAATATTTTTGATTAATATCGCCATGCCGCACGAAAGTACCTACTGCTTTTTTTCCGAATGCAAGACTTGCATATTGACATAATTTTTCATCGCAGTATTAGACCGGGAGATGGTGACACTTTTTGTGGTGTGATTTGCTACAAGTATGGCGACCATTCAAAGGTTTAATTAAGTACTCCTCGAAACGAAAATGGTGCTAACTCTCTGGGAGTGGGGCCGTTATTGAGTGACGATTGTTTAAACATGTTGGAAAATTTAATGATTTTGGACAATTTTCTACACAAAATTCTTTGGATTTTCTGGTAGTCGGTGACTTAGCAAATGTCGGATACGAAATGCCATACTTTTCCGGTGGGCCGTATAGCCCGCCATACTCATTTGAACGTGTCGATTGTTTGTTTTTTTTGGGTGATTTGCTACAAGCTCATTTTTTTATGAGCATCAAGTCCTCAATCAGTCATTCACGAAAATCAACCTGCCATACCGCAGCGACGGGCCCGCATAGCCGCCATACCGGCACAAAGATGTCATTTTTGTTAATAATTTTGGGCGATTTGCTACAGTATGGCATTTGGATTTTCCGAAAGTTCATGCTCCACATTGACCCATGATATATGTGCCATACTCGTCATGAAGGCTAAAGATGGCGCCATACTCGAAAATCTGTTTTCTTAAAACATCTTTGTGCTATAACTGGGACAAGCAAGAAACCTTGAAAACGACCTTCTCGCGAGCTTCAGAAAAATGATTTTATTATTAAAAATTGGTAACACAATCCATTCAAAAGAATAATTGTTCTAAATTGATTAACTTATCCCGACAAGATATCGTACTCGTGTTTAACAATTACTCGTCATCGGTATCGGATTCCTCAACATCGTCATGGGTCTCTTCTGTTTCGTTCCCATTGCCCTCGACACTACTCAAATCGATTTGATTTTCATTCTCTTGGTCAATGCGATCCAGAATGATATATCCGACAGTAGTGGGCATGACGTCGCCGTCGAACCAATTAAATTCATAATTATCTGTGTGCGTTAACTTCCATCCGTAATATTCATGACTATAATAATATATATAATATATAAAATTATTTTGATTGGTATTTCAGATGCACAGTGCCAACTTTCTTAATTATGAAAGCATCTAAATGAAATTTGATACCTATATGCACTTAGAGGTGCAAAATTTGGTCTTGAACTGCTATAGCCATACCCAGGAGCTCGTTTGCTATATTTGTTTAAACGTTTATTATTATTATTATTATTATTAGTGTTATTTTAATTTGTATAAGGTTCAAATTTTCATCGTTTCTTAATTCGGAATAAATACAACTGCCCTGAAAATTTGATCAAAATTGATCAAAGCCACTGGGTGTTCAGATACTTATGGCGGGTAGTATAAACTTGACGGCAGCTACTACCTACTACCTGCGATCCATTGAATGCAATGCAGAACACAACGACCCCGACCGGGACCTCTACAACTTGACTAAGAAGTTCGAGTGGGGCGGAGAATATTAAGCGACATAACATCTCGTGATAAAACAAGATTGGCCTGGGATTCATGTTTGAAACTTGATATTTACTTTTATTACACCTCAAACTGTCACGAAAC